CGCCGAATCTGGGCGCTTGCTACCTCGGCGCCTGCGCGGACGACATCGGGCTGCTTGCGTACTCCTTCGACACGCTGCGCCGCGCATCTGAGCCCTTTGCCGCAGCCGAGGAGCTTGCGCCCCTCTAGCTTAAGCCTCGCAAGTGTTTCTTCGTTCCGCTCTGGGCCGCGGCGACCCCAGACACCATTGCCCAAACCAAAACCCTTTTGGCCGAGCTCGGACCTTCCTGGGCGGGTTTCTCGATTGCGGGCTGTGCCAAATACCTCGGCACGTTCCTCGGTCACGAGGCCTCGCTGGCTTCGCAGTGGCTCGCGCCAGGGCAAAATGGTGGCAACGGGGAAATCTTCTACACCTGGTGCAGGGTGGCAGTGACGCCACAGCTCGCTTCATAATACCTCAGTTCTGTCCACGCTCAGCTACGTCGCCCAGTTCTTCCCGCTTCAGCCGTTGATCGCCCGCCGTGAACAGTGTTTCCCATGGGATGCCTAGCCTGCCGCCGAACTCACTTCGCAAAGTTGTTTTCATAGCCATGGCGTGGTGGGGCCCGCCGCCTGTCCCACAGTCCGCTCTGGTCATCTGTCGCTGCCGCGGCCCGCTCTGCTGCCGTCGCTCTCGCGGGCGACTGGGGGCCGTTTGCCGATCGCCTCGCCGGCGCATCATGGGAGGACACCTCCCTTCAGAACGCGCCTTGCTGGCAGGCTGGCGCGTGGTCGCCCGCTTTCTGGTCGTCTCATCAGTCTACCGCGCAGTGCAATCGCTCCCTCCTCGGAGCCTAGCCACAGAAGCCGTTCGTCCGCCCAGCCGCCTCAGCCGCTTTGCACGCCGCTCGCCTCGAACAGCGCGAGGCTGCAGCTGCCGTCTCGCTGCGCCGCCCGAAATTCCAGCGCGCGTGTGCACGCGAGCTTGCAAAACGAGCTTTCGCCTCGCCGTTCACCGTCACTCTTGTCAAACGCATCTCGGCCTGGGGCCTCCAGGCGCCGACGGCGCGAGGAGAGCTACAACAGCGCTGGTCAGCGTTCGCGGAATCGCTCAAAACGGTGCGTCCCAGCTGGCGCCGGGCCTCCTTTAAGGCGCTCAGCGGTGGCTGGGCAACCGCTGGCCGCGGGCACGTGCTCGCCCCAAAACAATGCGTTCTCGGGTGCGGGGGCCAGCCAGATTCTTCCCCCATTACCTCACCCCCCCCATCGCTTTCGAGCCTCATCTGGTCCCCTGATCCGCCCCTCCTCCGTTCGACGCTCGCAGCCTGGGGCCTTGGGCCCGCAGCTGCGTGCCCGCCCGAGAATCCAAATCCGCTTGCGTTGCGCTCGGCGGTGGGGCGCACCGCGCTAGCGCTTCACATCTATAACAAAATGAAGCATCACGCTGACCCGAGCTCATGCCCTGCGGCGATGGCCGCAGCGAACCGAGCTGCCAAAGCATTATTTTCTAGGTGAGAGAGCTAGCGACGGGCGCTGCGGACAAACATCATTTGCCCTCGGGTCGCTTCGTGCCCGATTGCCCTCTTCGTGTCTCTTCCGGGGTACATTAACTTATCCTTCCTTCTTCTACTCCTCCTCCTTGTCCTCCTCCTTCCTCCTCCTCCTCGTCTTCCTCCTTCCTCCTCCTCCTCCTCCTCCTCCTCCTCCTCCTCCTCCTCCTCCTCCTCCTCCTCCTTCTCTTCCTATTGTCAAAGAGGTCCTCAGACCCGGAGGCTTCTACAGGCCAGCCGGGAAACATCCAGAAAGTTCCCAACCACCTTTTTCTTCTCCCCCTCGTGTTTTTCCTTTCAGTCCTCCCTAGGCCTCCTACCTCCTACCTCATCTCCTCTCCGCTCTGCTCCGCTCCGCTCCGCTCCGCTCCTCCTCCTCTCCTCTCCTCTCCTCTCCTCTCTTCTCCTCTCTCCTCTCCTCTCCTCTCCTCTCCTCTCCTCATCTCTCCTCCCTCTTTCCTCCCTCACCTCTCCTCTCCTTTCAACTCCTGTCCTCTCCTCACCTCTCACCTCCTCCCCATCTCCTCTCCTTTCTTCTGCTCCCAAAGTTTGTCATCATCCCTCTTCTCCTCCCTTCTAGTTTCCTCTTTTCTCCTGTCATACTCGCCTCTAGTCCTCTCCTCTTATGTCATCTCACCTCCTCTTCTCCCCTCTCCCTCCGTTCCAGTCCTCTCCTCTCCCTGCTTTTCATCTCCCCCTCTCTTCTCCCTTCCAGTCCTGTCCTCTCCTCTCCTCTCCTTTCAGATCCTCTCCTCTCCGCGACTCTTCTCCTCTCCGTTTCTCTCTTCGGCGTTCCGCTCTTCTCCCATCTCCCCCCCTGTCCTGTTCTCTCTTCTCATGTCCTCTATGTCTCTTCTCCCCTTTATAACCTCATCACTCCATGCCTCTCATCTTTCCTCTCCTCTACTCCCCTTTCCTCTCCTCTCCTGCCCTCCCCTTTCCTCCCCTCCCATCCTCTCTCTGCCCTCCTCTTCCCTGTACTATCTTCTCATATCCTCCCCTGTTCTCCCTTTCCCCTCTTGCTTATCATCC